GGGGGCCTGGTTGTTGAGGGCTTTGTGAGTAATGAGGAGTAATAGGGCTGGGCCACTTAATGGAGGAGAGGTATATTGCCTCATAAGTTCAGTTATAAGTTAGCAAAATCAATGAAATGTAGGCAAATTATGCTTTATACTTGAATATGCTTTAAAGGCCACATGACATGGCCATTTCTACTGATCAGAATTCCATTGTTGAGGTCTACTAGAATAGATTTGCATTGTTCAATGTTCCAAAATCACATTGGTTTCTCATCCAGCATCTCTGTATAGTATGTGTATTCACTCTCTGTCCTAAACGGCTTGTTGGAGCTCCTGCCCCCCCCCTCCCTGAGAGCCCACTGTGCTCTGATTGGTCAGCTCGCCCACTCTGTTCTGATGAGTCCACCACCGTTACAGCGGAACATCAGTGATTATGTGTTACAATGGTGTTAGCAACCAGAAAATGACACCAGTAATGATAAACAGATGAGAATGCTGCGTGGGGTCTGGCGGGACGTTGCGGGGCTCGCTGCTCCGCCCTTTGAGGCACGAGGAGCGGACAGTGTGAGCTGGAAGCTGGTGTTGTTTCCTGGTTGCTGCGTGGGGTCGAGTCCGCGGATCCGCGGCTGAGAAAAGATAAGGCTGACTGAGTGTGTGTGTGTGTGTGTGTGTGTGTGTGTGTGTGTGTGTGTGTGTGTGTGTGTGTGTGTGTGTGTGTGTGTGTGTGTGTGTGTGTGTGTGTGTGAGGAGCCGTTACGTCACTATGACCAGGAAGAAAAAAATGGAAAAAGAAATCTCCAACGAGGCGTTCTGGGGCAGCATAGACAGGTATTTTCTGTGTTAGAGTTTTACTCGCTATAGGGTGTACTTTGAGGGTTTGTGAATCTGCAGACCGTTTACTGTATATGCATAGAAAGCTACATAACACACAAGGGGACGGGTAATAACCAGAAAAGCATGTCATGGGACCTTTAAGAAAAAACCGCCAACATCACAGCTCTCCAGAGGGTTTCGTTTGCAGCTCATTCTTAAAACAGAAGCCTCAGATTGCTCATAAGAGGAAATATAAAGGGTATATTTCGAGCTGGTTATAGAAATAAGTTATTGGGCTTTTTTTATCAACTCAGATTTGTTAGAAAATGTTTTCAACTTTAATTGATGGAATTCCTTTGAAAGTGGGCTTATTAACACATGAATACTGTGTAATATATGTTTACATATATCTTTAAGAAGTACAAGACAAGCAAAAGTTTCATTTGTGGGCCATATTTCATTATACTTCTTGAATTAGCTGAGGGCCAATTCAAAATGGCTTGCGGGCCGCATTTGGCCCCCGGACCGTAGTTTGGACACCCCTGTGCTAAAATCAGTTTATGAATAATTGAGTTTGAGGTCACATTAACTTACTGACCTTCCACATAAAAATGTTCAACATTTAACACACGAGACAGGGATTAAAATCCCACCACACACATACTGTACGACCACCTGTTGTCATGTGAGTGAAGTTGTATACATACGTCACATCTCACATGATAACGATGAACCCATCTCAATGAAAGCATATAGAGTTTGTGTTGAATCTCAAAACAACCTTTAGAGATTGTATTACCACTGAATAGCTATTAAAGAACCCAGATGTGTATTGGTGAAAGAGATTCTTAAGATTGATTCTCGGAAAACATATTGAACTTTGTATGTCATTGCTTCTATTCATTAGAAACTTGATGAATACGCCTACACAATTTTCTAACTAAACTAAAGTTCAAGTTCAATGTTTATAGAAAGCTAGAAAGACTTCATGACACAGCTCTGTGTTGCTTAAGATTGAATTTCGCCAAACCTGAAGCATAGTCACAAAACAGTCTGCCTGGAGTACTGACAAAAAGGTTTCCCCCTGGTTCTGAGTCATTGAAGGAATCTGAGGCAGTCAATAATTAATAACTTGTGGCTTTTGAGTCACAGTAACGGTTAGAAACAGGACTACTAATTTCAGCCATTAGAGCCTCCTTCGGGGTCAGTACAAAATGGAAGCATTTGGGTTGTTTTCAAGCTGTTTCTATTCCCTCTTTTCTTTTAGATGAGTCTCTCCGCGTGTGTGTCCACCCGGGGCCCAGCTGCTGCACCAGTAAGATGGAGGACAGCTACATGGCGGCTGTTCGCAGCGAGTCGCAGCAGAAGATGAGATCGTACAGCTTCGAGCTGAAGTACCTGATCGCTGGACACACCAAGGCCTACCAAGGTGAGGCCGGC